ACATGATAGAAATACCCAAGGCCTGTCCTCCAAAGGAACTTAGGTGCAAGCATTTCCCAGTCTGGTAGGGTAGTTCAAGCGAAGATGGCCTCGTTGCCCACAATACAAACAAAGCACTTCTCTTCTCCTATATTTTTTCTCTGCTTCAGTTAGGCGAGTAACCCCTAATTGCATTGGTTAGGGAAGTGCTTAAGCCATAGAATCAGGGTTCTGAAAAGAAGGGGCCAGTCTAATAGAAGGTCTACGGGTTCTATCTCTGGTATTCTGTCTATGCCTCATGCGGATAGGCACGGGGTTGCAACTCAAAATGAATGCTAATCTAGTTAAAAAAAACCACGACAAGCATCTGGTGCCCCACCAACTGTGACCACTTCTAAGCCTGTTGCTTTGGGGGCAATAGGGGAAACCTGACTCATCTTGCAGAGTGGTCGAATGAAACAATAATGTCTGCAAGGCCATTCTATGGTCCAGTGCCTCAAATGGGAGATCATAGGAAACACCCTGATGGTTTGCACCTGCAGGATCCATAGGGCCCTGTCGTATGTCAGGAACGACACAGGTATCTAATACGCAGAATGCAAAAATAGAAAGTATACCGGGCCTTAGAATGGCCAGACTAACGTAGGAAAGGACAGAGAATTGTCAGGGACAAGCCGAGGTCGAGGGAGACAGAAAACAGGTGAGCGAATATACAAGCTGAGTTAAAGGAAAGGAGAAAACAGAATTGTCAAAATCAGAGCCAAGTCAAATACCAATAAATCAAACCAGAGATGCACTATAGGGAACAAATTAATATTATTATTGCCATTTATATAGCGCCAACGGATTCCGTAGCGCTTTACAATATTTTGAGAGGGGGGGGTGTAACAATAAATAGGACAATTACAAGAAAACTTACAGGAACAATAGGTTTAAGAGGACCCTGCTCAAACGAGCTTACAGACTATTGGAGGTGGGGTATTTGAAACATTAGGACAATAAATATCAAGTAGGAGTGAAGCAGAGCTGGAGGAGAGAGCAAAGCACTGTCCCATAGGAGAGAGCAGGAGACAGGTATGTAAGGTAGAGATTACTCTGGGAGGCCATAAGCTTTCCTGAAGAGATGGGTTTTAAGGCCCTTCTTAAATGATTGAAGACTAGGGGAGAGTCTGATGGCAGTAGGCAAGCTATTCCATAGGAGAGGAGCCGCCCGCGAGAGGTCCTGCAAGCGCGAGTTGGCCGTACGGGTGCGAGCAGCGGTCAGGAGGTGGTCACGGGCAGAGCGGAGGGTACGTGGAGGGGCATATTTATGGATCAGTGAAGAGATATAAGCGGGGCTAGAACTGTTCAGTGCTTTAAATGTATGGGTTAGCACTTTGAATTGACTCCTATAGCATACAGGGAGCCAATGTAAGGACCGGCAGAGGGGTGAGGTGTGAGAGGACCGACTAGAGAGGAAAATCAGTCTAGCTGCAGCATTCATTACAGACTGTAGCGGGGCAATACGGCTTTTGGGGAGACCAATCAGGAGAGGGTTACAGTAATCCATGCGGGAAATTACTAGAGCATGGACAAGCTCCTTGGTAGCATCTTGCGTAAGAAAGGGGCGAATGCGGGCTATGTTTTTGAGTTGGAACCTACAGGACTTGGCAACAAACTGGATGTGAGACTCAAAGGTGAGACCAGAGTCAAGTATGACGCCAAGACAGCGCGCTTGCAGGGATGGACTTATGTGGATATCACTGACTTGAAGGGAGAGCGAGAGAGGAGGATCAGTATTAGGAGGAGGAAAGACAAGGAGTTCAGTTTTAGAGAGGTTAAGTTTCAGAAAGCGTGAAGACATCCAGTCAGAGATGGAAGAAAGGCAAGCAGTGACACGTTGCAGGACAGCAGGGGAGAGGTCCGGGGAGGAGAGGTATATCTGAGTGTCATCAGCGTACAGGTGGTAGTGGAATCCAAAAGAGGCAATCAGTTTACCAAGAGAGGCGGTATAAAGAGAAAATAGAAGGGGACCAAGGACAGACCCTTGGGGAACTCCAACCGAGACAGGACGAGTGGAGGAGGTATCCTTGGAAAAGGAGACACTGAATGAGCGTTGGGAGAGATAGGAGGAAAACCAAGAGAGGACTGAGTCACAGAGACCGAGTGATTGAAGAGTTTGAAGGAAGAGAGCATGATCAACGGTGTCAAAGGCAGCAGAGAGGTCAAGGAGAATTAATATGGAGTAATGACCTTTGGATTTAGCGGAGATTAGGTCATTAGTCACTTTGATAAGAGCAGTCTCAGTAGAGTGGAGAGGGCGGAAGCCAGACTGAAGAGGGTCAAGGAGAGAGTTGGAATTAAGGAAGCGGGACACACGGGTAAAGACAAGCCTTTCCAAAAGCTTTGATGAGAAAGGGAGCAGGGATATGGGACAATAGTTAGAAGGGGAGGATGGGTCAAGAGATGGTTTTTTCAGGATAGGTATTACAGTGGCATGTTTAAGGTCAGCAGGAACAGTGCCAGAAGAGAGAGAGCAGTTAAAGATGTGTGTTAGGGTAGGCACAAGACAAGGGGAGAGAGATCTGATGAGGTGAGATGGGACAGGATCGAGCGGGCAAGTGGTGGGGCGAGAGGAATGGAGAAGCGCAGCCACCTCTTGTTCAGTAGCCGGGTAGAAAGTCTGGAGGGTAGGGAAAGCAAGATTTACATGTGGTTGAGAAAGAGAACGGCAAGGAGGGGAGAATTGTTTCCTTAGCTGTTCAATCTTGTCGGTAAAGTAGCATGCAAAGCTATCAGCTGTAAGGTGAGTTTGGGGGGTGGCCACAGCAGGGCGGAGAAGGGAATTAAAGGTGTCAAAGAGGCGTCTGGGATTGCGGGAGCATGAACTAATGAGAGAGGAAAAGTATGACAAATCAAGCTTGAACCACGACAGGGCAATGATTTATTGCAAATTAGTACTTTTTATAGTTTGGCTCTTTAAGTGATGGCCACACCACCAAAACATCCTAATTTGAAAGTTTCAGCGGGCTGTGATATCATCAAAGTCATAAAAAGGAGAATCAGAAGAATCACAGCCTGGATTCCTGCCTGGGCAGTAACCACAGGTACCCTGACACACAAACACTGCCACACGGACGTACAAACATACATATACACACACATTGGTCAAAATGTACACTTTCAAAGCAACCCTTCCATTCCCTACCTTTTGCAGAAGGCTTCACTGGGTCCAGTAGCAGGCTAAGGCTTTTGGGAGTTAGGGGCTGGCTCTACTGGCCCAACCCCCCTTTATGCCTGCTCCTCCTCTCTCCCGCGTGGCTTCTATCTCTTTGGGATGAAGTGACAGGCTGTCACTTCCTCCCACTACTGCCAATAAGCAAAGAATCCGGTTGCGCTGTAAAAGGGCCACAGCGCTCAACCGGGCCCCTGCTAACATATGCCCATTTGGTGCCTAAGGCCATCTGATAGGCCCCTTAGTGTGTGTACTCCAGTGCAGCCACACCGGCTGCACGGTGGTAGATCCCCCACTGCCCCTCATGCAAGAGTTTGAGGAAAAGCCCCGGAAACCTGGCAGAGACAGGGAGCAATTTGAGCAAATCTAACCGACTATTAGATATAAAAGGGGCTAAGAATAATAATAAAACTCTCTGAGTATAATGTGTTTTACTCTTAATCTGCACACATTCTCAGGAAGAAACCAATCTTTACATGTATACATACAAATATGCAAAAGGAGAAAATAGTAAAAGTAATAGAAAGTAATAGAACAAAATATATATAAACCTATTACATGGATGATAAAACCCTAGGAGCTGACATAAGGGCAAAAGATTAGATATATAATCTAATAATTCTAAAATTGATTTAACTTCTAAATGGAAGAGAATTGAGCAGTGACAATGCATGGGGCATGATCTATTCACCAAAACTGCTTCATACAGCTAAACTTGTATTGATGACTATAGTGTCCCTTTTTTAAAACATTTTTTGTTTTTTGTTTTTTTTAATTTAAATTCTTTATTTTTGAATGCATGGAGAAAAGGAAGTTACAAGTGCGTTTGACATGGCCCAATAGCATGCACTCACGATTGAACAGTTAACATCAATTTGCTAAGGCATGGCATGGGGACACAATGCACATTTGTTTTTATATAATGACATGAAGACTATTTTTGAGTATGCGTGGTTATAAGTATAAGTAAGTGCATGGGAAAAGTTTTCGGTTCGGCATTCCGAAATTTGGGACTTTGGCAATTTGACATTTCGGAACTTCGGCATCTTCGGCACTTCGACACTTCAGAAATTCTGTAATTTCGGAACTTCGGGGCCTCAGCAATCTGCCACTTCACCAATTCGGCACTTCGACACTTCAGAACTTCGACACTTCGGAATTTCAGAACTTCTCTTGCAGCCGCTTGGTAGATAACTCCCTAATTCCCACGGTATTAGGGAGTTATCTACCAAAAGGCTGAAAGACCTAAATTGGTCTTTCAGGTAAATTTACTAATACTACGTAAAAATTACTTAGTATTAGTAAATTGTGCCCCTACTCGCTATACCGCGAGTAGGGGCATGTCTATTAAACAGTGAGCAGCCCGAGCTCCCACCCATGACGTGCGAGTGGGGGCTTTTAAACTAAAGGAGGGCCTATTGCCCCCCACGGCCCCCACCCCTGAGCGGCGGATGGGGGCCCTAAAGTAAAATAACGGGGGGGACCTATTGCCCCCCCTGCCCCCCTGAGTGGTGGGTGGGGGCCCTAAATTAGAATGAGGGGGGGGGACCTAATGTCTTCTCCCTGGCCCCTACCCCTGAGCGGTGGGTGGGGGACCTAAAAACTAATTGGG